TTAAATCATTTTTATTAGAACAATCACACGACGACATCAAAATTTTGCTGAACCCTACAACTTAGTAAACTTGAACTAAATATGTAATCTCATGAGCATGTACACCGCTTTTTCATAAACCAACTTAATTAAATTTAAATTTATCTTACAATGTATAGTTTATTCTGAATTTCACCCCACACACTTTTGTTAATGTGCATTAAATTCCTCTTGAGACGGCATTCGATACTAAAATATTAATACTTTTTACAGAATGCCTTACTTTTTCTTTCTTTTAATATTTTATTATAATTTATGTTAAGTTAATATTGTAATTTACATACATATGTTTATTTTGAAAGAAAAATGAATAAATCAATCAATCAATCAAATCAATCAATTGATATTTTATTATAATTAAAAATGGTGTGTAGATGCTTGTATTTCTTTTTATTTCGTTTGTAGTTCAACAGATACCGATATAAAGACATTTGAAAAAAAAATACTTTTTTCTTGAAATCCGGGTGCTATCAAATTGATATTTTATTATGATTAGAAATGGCTTGTAGATGTTTGTAGTGCTTTTTATTTCGTTTGTAGTTCAACAGATACCGATATAAAGACATTTGAAAAAAAAATACTTTTTTCTTGAAATCCGGGTGCTATCAAATTGATATTTTATTATGATTAGAAATGGCTTGTAGATGTTTATAGTGCTTTTTATTTCGTTTGTAGTTCAACGGATACCGAAGTAAAGACAGTTTAAAAAAAAAATACTTTCTTAAAATGGTGTAGATGTTAGTACTTCATTTTATTTCGTTTGTAGTTCAACAGATACCGAAATAAAGACATTTGAAAAAAAAATGTTTTTTTCTTAAAATCCGGGGGCTAACAAATTGATATTTCATTATGATTAGAAATGGTTTGTAGATGTTTGTAGTGCTTTTTATTTCGTTTGTAGTTCAACAGATACCGAAAAAAGACAGTTGAAAAAAATACCCTTTTCTTAAGATCCGGGTGCTAACAAATTGATATTTTATTATGATTAGAAATGGTGTGTAGATGTTTGTAGTGCTTCTTATTCAACTGAAATGAGAAATGGTGTCTATCCTTTGAACTACAAACGAAATAAAAAGCACTACAAACATATACAAACCATTTCTAATCATAATAAAATATCAATTTGTTAGCAACCGGATTTTAAGAAGAAAGTATTTTTTTAAACTGTCTTTACTTCGGTATCCGTTGAACTACAAACGAAATAAAAAGCACCATAAACATCTACAAGCGTTTTCTAATCATAATAAAATATCAATTTGATAGCACCCGGATTTCAAGAAAAAAATATTTTTTTTTCAAATGTCTTTATATCGGTATCTGTTGAGCTACAAACGAAATTAAAAGAAATACAAGCATCTACACACCATTTTTAATTATAATAAAATATCAATTTGGTAGCACCCGGATTTTAAGAAAAAAGTATTTTTTTAAACTGTCTTTATTTCGGTATCTGTTGAACTACAATCGAAATAAAACAGAAAAAATCAAAACCACTACAAACAACTACATACGATTTCCTACAAGGTTGGTGAAAGTGGGGTGGGGATGATTTTTTCACCCGATCGTATTTCGTTATCTGTTAAGCTACAGAAAAAATCAAAACCACTACAAACAACTGCAAACGATTTCTTATCTGTTGAACTACAAACAAATTTAAATCCACTACAAACAACTACAAACAAAGTCCTATAAGGTGCACCTGTAAAAGTAGTTATTTGTAAAAGTGGGGGGGCTAACTTCACAGAACTGAAACCATACCTTCCAGAAATCCTTCATAATTGTGGCACACTATTAAAAAGAATTGGAAATCTATACAAACATTTGGTTCTTATGTTCTGTAAGATTTACAACAAAAACAACGTAAAAAGATATTAGGAACGGCCTAAAGTTAAATTACAAATTGTGCTTTTTTTCAAACGTTCGGACGCAAAATATACTTTAAATGTAAAAAAAGAGTCGTAACATTTACTTTATTTGTCAAAATTTTCATACAAAAGCTAGTTTTGGTTACTCTTTCCGCTCGCATAAAATTTTCTTTCGGAAAGATATAGGATCGTCGATTGTAAGTATATTGAAAATTGGAACGTCCGAACGCTTCAAATAACTTTTGTTCATATTGTTCTATGTAGGTATTGTTACTCACAAAATTAAGTAGACGGTTTTTACAGCTATTTATATTTATCCCATTGAAAATTATGTCAAAAAGCTGCAACTAACTTTATAGTGGACTTTATTTTGACTATGACTACGGGCCAATCACTTTAATCCTATTTTTAGCTAATTAAAAAAGTTAAATTAAATCAAGTTAGGGAACTTCCCTTTCTTCTTAAAGTGAATCGCTATATCTTTAAGTTATTTTATACTTTTTAGTTCTTGTTGTAATAAAAGCATGATTTTAGTTTTTATACCCGAGCGCACTTGTGCACAAGGGTATATTAATTTTGTTCACATAACGGTTGTTTGTAACAGCCAAAACGAATCGAGATAGATATAGACAAATGTATACATAAATGATCAGGATGAAAAAAGAAATCGATTAAGCCATGTCTGTCCGTCCGTCCGTCTGTCCGTCTGTCCGTCTGTCCGTGTACACGATAACTCGAGCAAAAATTGAGATATCTCAACGAAATTTGGTATGTAGGTTTCCCTTAATCCAAGGTAGGTTGGTATTGAAAATGGGCGAAATCGGACTGTAACCACGCCCACTTCCCATATAACGGTAATTTCCAGAAATACGAAAACTGCGATATTTTAGTAACTACTGAAGATAATTCACTCAAAATTGATATTTACAATAATTTTTAGACGAAAAATAAGAATATTATAAATTTTTGGAAAATGGGCGTAGCCACGCCCACTTATGGTTACATGTGTATATCTTGGTAACCGCTGCACCAATTTCTCCCAAATTTGGCACAGTTGTTGGCCTTCGCACAGCATACAAAATGGTTTAAAATGTGGAAAATCGCTCAATAACCACGCCTACTTCCCATATAACGGTAATTTTCAGAAATACGAAAACTGCGATATTTTAGTAACTACTGGAGATTATTCACTCAAAATTGATATTTATAATAAGTTTTAGACGAAAAATAAGAATATTATAAATTTTTGGAAAATGGGCGTAGCCACGCCCACTTATGGTTACATGTGTATATCTTGGTAACCGCTGCACCAATTTCTTCCAAACTTGGCACAGTTGTTGGCCTTCGCATAACATACCAAATGGCCGAAAATTTTTAAAATCGCTCAATAACCACGCCTACTTCCCATATAACGGTAATTTTCAGAAATACGAAAACTGCGATATTTTAGTAACTACTGGAGATTATTCACTCAAAATTGATATTTATAATAAGTTTTAGACGAAAAATAAGAATATTATAAATTTTTGGAAAATGGGCGTAGCCACGCCCACTTATGGTTACATGTGTATATCTTGGTAACCGCTGCACCAATTTCTTCCAAACTTGGCACAGTTGTTGGCCTTCGTACAGCATAAAAAACCGCCGAAACTTTTTAAAATCGGACAATAACCACGCCCACATCCCATATAACGGTAATTTAGAGAAATACAAAATCTTCGATAAATCGGTAAATATGAAAGCTAATTTATTCAAAATTGATGCTTGCAACAATACTTAACCAAGAAATACGTTTGTGATAAAATTTTGGAAAATGGGCGTGGCACCGCCCACTTATGATCACATATATGTATCTCGGTAACCGTTCTACCAATTTGTACCAAACTCGGTATGGTTATTGTGCTTGCCACATAAAAGCAAAACGTTCAAAATTATTGAAATCGGGCTTAAATTGCGGCTTTTAATATAACGGTAAATTTTAGAAATGCTTGAAACTTCAATATTTCGAAATTTAAGGACGCTAATTTACTCAAAATTGATACACCTCGGCTTACCATGTAGCGGTAGCTTTCAGTAAGGTGAAAACATATATTTAATACGTGCGCCGGGTATTTAATGTTCAGCGCAAAAAAAATCGGCAAAGTTTCAGCAAATTTGCAAACTTTTTAACAAGAATTTCTAAAAAACAATGTAGTTTTATAGCCCATTCAGTTTTAGTATAATAATGTGCAAATTTCAAATGACTAAAAATTCGCGATGATTTTTCAGAATTTTTTATACATTTGAAATTTGCACATTATTATACTAAAACTGAATGGACTATAAAACTGCATACCTACCTGATTTTTTTTAGAAATTCTTGTTAAAAAGTTTGCTTTGCAGATTTTTCATAATTTTGGGTTTGCTAAAATATAAGCAATATTTCAATATAAAATAAAATCAAAAATTTAGCATGTAAAACATTGCGAATATTAACAAAAAACACCGTGTATTCAATTTTGTGAGTAACAGTATATAGATATAGTACATACCGACGCTTCCAAACCATACTATGCTAAGTCAGCTTAGACTAAGTCAGACTTAGCATGGTTTGAAGGCGGCGATATGTACGTCTGCTTGTACGAAGAAATGACTTGAATAGATGTAGATTTATTTACAAGAAAACCTCATATTTGCATTAAAAAACGAGTTGTTTAAATTCTTAAACAAAAAATTTTATCCATTGGAAAAAATCGGAACGTCCGAACGGGAACTTCCGAAAAACTTTGAACAGTTTTTGGCAGCTACTAAATACCGTTAGGAAGTTTAAGTTGACGCAATGGTTATGACTGCTTATTATTCTAACAACCATTCATACATCGTTTTTTTGTACCAATAACAGATTCGCAGAATTTAGCAAAAATCATCAGTCGTCTTCGATACGAGTTCCATTTTGGGAACGTCCGAACGGGAACTTTTAATCGCTATACACTTACCATTTTTATTGATTTCAGATAGGTACTGGCATGATACAAAAAAGAAGGTGGTTCCGTTGTCACTTTTTCGTTGCCATATTAACAACCTGACAATTAAGTAGATTGTGACATTTCGTGATACCGTATCCAATATCTAAAATCCTTCAAATTTTGTTATTAATTTCTTGTTTATTTACAAGCATTTTGTTCTTATAATCGAACTTTGAACAAGCAAATGGCACATATTTTGTTGGGTACGACTCGGTTATTTGTACAAAAACCAAAATCATTGAAAAAATAACCGAATATTTCCCCTTTTGTTTTTGAAAGAGGTCTAATGCTCAATAAGTTGATAATTGTGTTTCTAGTTTTCACACTAACAATAAATCATCAATTTTGTTTCACACCCCCTCTAATATTGAACAGTAAAATACATTTATTTTTACCCAAAGGAACAACGATATTGTCGAAACATACTAGAATTGGATAATACTCACTTCTCTGAAAGTCATGAGGCATATGGGTCCCAAAGTAAATTCCGTTTTCAAGTTACTTGAAAGACATGGATAAAGACATTATCCAAATGTGTAATTTCAGGGTCTCAAATATATCAGAAACAATCCGATATAGGAAACTGTAATAGTCCTGGCTAGCTGTGTGATAATCAGATGACATAATGTATACTAAAATCTGATCAATCTAAAAATAAAGATTTTGTCAAGTAGTTATCGAACTTAATGTAAAATTTTAACGTTTTTAAGATAAGATATTAATTATTTTTAAAAGGTAAATGTTGATACAACTATTTTATTTATACTCCCAAATTTAGGATATAAAATCCCCTCCACCAAATAACTTAAATTGGGTAACGCCGCTTCGAATTTTTTACAATTTAGCAATTGTCAAAAATCTCCTTTTTAATCAAAAAGTTGTTTATTGAAACTACCTCCTTTTTTGTATCATGGGTATTGGTGATGACTACTCATGACAAAAAATTTGTGTTCATTCGGAGCCTACTATAGTTTTTATAATGAAAAAAGTGTCTCCAAACGGAACGTCCGTAACGCAGGAAACACCCATGTATAAAAACATATATTTGTTAATAGAGCCAAACCGCAAAAAAACGTAAGCGAATTTTTTTGCTTTAATTTATCGTTTGGATGCAGAAGTGCTCCGTTTTTTACGTTGTTTTGGCGGTTTGGGCTCGATATACTAGTACCTAAATATTTAACAAATAATTTTTAAGCAAACAAACACTTCAATTCTCATACAAAAAATTTGGATTACCGTTAATTGCTTCATGAGCCAATGATCGGAACTAAACCAAATTAGAAGGGTATTTCCCTTGAGGTACAACCCTTCCCGAAAAATGAAGAATTATTGGATCAAGTGGTCCTAAGTAATGCGGTAACAAACGTACTAAGAAAATATTCTGACGAATTGAAAAAACGTTTTTATTGGGAACGGGAGCGGAGCTCGGAGCGAAACAAAATTACGGAGCGGAGCTAAAGCGGAGCGATGAAAAAGTCTTTGCTATGCAGCCCTGGGAAAAACTCGTAGTCCGTGCCACTCCGATGATCCTCAGGGTACGCATATTAGTTGCCTCCCCTTTGGAATTGGTTGGCTACACCCTTGGTGATAGCGACACTTTTCATGCCAACAAGTATGTCAGTTTCTTGAATTCAGTATCAGAGATACAGAAGAGAAGATATAGTTGAATGGTTCACTACCAAACAAAAAATGTAATTTAATTTATTATTACCACAGTAAAAGGAGTCTACTAAGCGATATGCACAAACGCTTTCCCTGCATCATTTAAGACAATGTCCTCCTTTTAAAAAATGCATACACTCATATCCTCATATCTATGTACATACATACATCCATAAGTGCGTACATATGTATATTTCTTCTTCTAACTATTGGTCATTACTAATACTACACCACAGTTTGGAAAGCAGGAAAAAATAATAAAATTGTAGCCATCAATAAACGCTAGTAAGATATATTGCAATCGGAAAAGGAAATCGCCTTGGGATGGACTATGACAATGGACAGGGCTATCGTTGGTGTAGAAGGCAATAAGCTCGTCATACAAGAATTCTTCTGTAATGTGCATGAAGCCGTAAAAAACAGAACGCGACCCTTCAATAAAAAGAGCGCCACATAAAATTCCCGTACAAGTTATACAGCCAAAGTATAAATGGGCAAAAGTACAACAAAAAACACTAAAATTTGGGCACATTCAATAGCACGTTAGAGCAATGGTGGGGAAAAATTGTGCAACTCGGGATATATCACCGTTCATCTATTCGTATGTGATGCGTTTTACTAATCTACTTACTGCCGTACAAATTGGTAGTGGATTATCTGAATGAAAGGCTCTGATGTAAATGCGCCATATGAATGAATCGATTTGACCACTGCATTCCAATGAGTTTCTTTCTGCTGACCATTATTCTGTTTCCAATTGCTAATACAATAGCTATACTTATCAGTAATGCAGTGAGTTGATATTCCATTTACATACATATAAACATACATTGTATTTATGCATATGGGTGTTTCCATACAGCCGTACGCGACATTCGTACGCTTATAGAGTAACGTAAATCTATCAAAAATAGAAGTTACAGAAAAAAAAGATTACGGTTATGTTGAAACCAAAGGGTACTATGTTTGAGAAAAAAATAAGCAGCCTCGAAACTTTGGTGTGGAAAATATCCGTTCAAAACCAGCTGATAACGTACGCGACAAAAAAAGAAGTGGTTTTAAGGCACATATACATATATGCGAAAGTCTGCGAATCATGAGAGTTTTTCTTTTCTTTAAAAATTCCTAAACTAAGCTAAATAATGTACCTTTACAATCCTTCCATTTTTTGATAGAAATTATCTCTGGTTAGTTTTTATTAAAAAAAATTATAATAACGTACGCGACATAACGTACGCGACAGATTTTTCCCCCATACAATATTTTTACTAGTAACACATACTAAATTAAATTTTTTCAGTTCTTCTCTCCACCGTTTCGCGTTTTCAAAACCTTTTTCCGCCATCTGAATACGAAATTTAAAGTTATAAAGCCGTTTGAATTCATTTGCTTGCATTTTCGGTTTACATTTTCATGGAAACACGCATATATGCGAAAGTCTGCGAATCATAGGAGTTTTTCTTTTCTTTATATATTCCTAAACTAAGCTAAATAATGTACCTTTACAATCCTTTCAAATTTTAAGAGAAATTATCTCTGGCTAGTTTTATATTAAAAAAAAAACAATAACGTACGCGACATAACGTACGCGACAATTTTTCTCGTAAGTAATAAAATGTATTTATTGAGAACTCTTCTCGCCACCGTTTCATTGTTTTACAACTATTCTAAATAATTTAAATGGAAAATTTGCAATTAACATTGGTTTTGATGTATTTGATTGAAATTTGCGTACTTACAATAACGTATGCGACAAACTTTAAAGGGTAATAAAATTTGTTTTACTTCGATTGGAAAGAAAATTTTACTGTATATCTTTAACTAGAAGAATTCTCGCTTAAGAATTGTAATCTGCATTACCTGCGACTGCCAATATACAAATGACATACAATGTTTTTGCATAACGTACGCGACATTAGAATACTATCAGAAGCAAATCAAAAAATTACCGTTATTCGAGCTCTAACTTCTCCTTTTTCTCATTTTTATAGTTAGTTGCAAATTTGATTTTAAGATGTAATTGAAATGTTTCAAATCTCTTAATTTAGTTAATAGGAAAGAGAAAATAGTTCATTTCATTAGAGAAAACAGAGTCGAAGAGACATTCAGTTTTACTCTTCCATTTTTGAGTTTTAATATTCCAATAAGCTGAAATACTTCTATAATATAAAAATTCGAGTATTTTTCCCTTATTAATTCGTCTTAAAAACCCTTTTCAGTTGTTTTTATTTTTTCAGTCCTGGTTGACATTTTCATGGAAACACCCGTATGCTCAATTTGTGCATATTTTTGTGGCTATGGACCTAAGTGTTGCTAGAATATAAACTAGATACGTGTCACATGTGTGTTTACCAGGGATGTTGCGAATATTTGCATTCGCATTCGTTATGCGAATGATTCGCATCATTTTACACACTCGTATTCGACATTCGCATTCGTATCAAATGATACGAATGTTTATTAGCTGCCAGCTAACGACCACTAAGCACACAATCGCAGCGTATCGTACATTTAACGTTTAGTATAATCGTAGAAAATAGCAGAGACTGAAAATAAAAGTTATTTTACAATTTTTGACATCAAAAAGGCGTAGTAAAAAATTAATTATAAAGTTACCATTAGACTCATCTCACATCGTAGATTGTGATTCCTCCATGACTTAAAAATCTGACTTTTATCATTTTGGGCAAATAATACCGATTATATCTGCTATTTATATTTGTAAGGCAAAAATAGAAGTTAAAATTTGCCTTTTATTTTTTTGAGCAGAAAATAGTCGGTAATTGTAGCCTTTTATTTTTCAGGCAAAAATAAAGGTCAAAGTTCCAAATCAAGTATTCCAGAGTTGTGTATACTCGAATTTAATAGTTTTATAGCTCCTATCTGGATTATAATAACTCCCTAATGCACAAATAACTACCAGGGTTAGATCAAATCTAAATATGTATGTACTATGTATAAATACAATACATGAAGGCACCTTTTGTTAACGGCATCAGAGATTTGATTTTCAAAACTGAGTTTCCAAATTACAGGGCTTGGCCTCTAAATGTACAGCAAGGTATGACTTTTGGAAAGGGTTGCCCCTTTTTATTAATAATAATAATAGATTGGCGCTTACACATATGTTAGTGTTTGCCCGAGCTTCTCCTCCAACTTGTGGCGTGCGCCTTGATATTGTCACACAAAGCGGAGGGACCTACAGTTTTACGCCGACTCGGAACGGCGATTGTATTTTTATGAGAAGCTGTTTTTCATGGTAGAAATACAGTCGGAGGTTTGCCATTGCCTGCCGAGGGACGACCGCTGTTAAGAAAAAACCTTTTTCTAAATTTTTTGAGATGTTGCTTTGACCAGGGCTTGAACCCAGGTTCTGGTGAGTGAAAGCGCGCACTGCTTACCACTACACCACAGCGGCCCCTTTATATTACCTTCCTTTTATTAGCTCGGGATGTAACTATGTAATATAGATGCGCCTAAAAGATGCAGCGATTTCTCGTCTCAAGTTATATACCTGATGACAGTAAGAATGGCAATTATAATAGGGA